ATATTGTGGGAACATTAGATTATGATCTCTCCATCAAACCTACTAAGCTTGCAGACTTGGTGGTCTTTTCTAACTTTGGTTGTGCAGGATGCCCTGATACTAGGAGGTCAACAACCGATGCTACTTTCTTCCATTCTGGCATCTTGGTTTCTTGGATGACTAAGAAATAACATACAGTATCTCGTTCTAGCGTGAAAGCTGAGTATCTTGCAATGGCAAGTAGTGTAGCAGAGTTAACTTGGTTATGCAATGTTCTTTGGGACCTAGGTGTGTTTTTGTGTGACAATGTAAGTACCATTTATTTGACAGCCAACCCGTTGTATCATGGTCGCTCTAAACACTTTTAAAGATTGATTTTCATATGGTGGGTGAACAAGTGGCCAGTGGAATAGTGGAACACCATGTTCGCTTTGTTTCAACAGAATTGCAAATGACAGATCTCCTAACAAAGGCTTTATTAGTTCGGCAGTTACAAGCTTTGAGAGACAAGCTTCACATTGTCCCTCTACCATATACAACTTGAGGGGAAATGTAAAGAGATAACACTTATCTCATAGGATAATAGCAATCTTGTACAGTTATAAAAGGGCTATCATGTAAAGACCTAAGGAATAATCAATAATATTACTATATTAGTATAAAAAAAATGCATTTGAATTATTAAGTGATTTTTCTAAAACATTATTTTAATTATTTTATTTTTAAAAATAATTTTAGAATATTAAAAAAATTAATAACAAATAGTTGATGTTACGTGTGTAGATATATAATTAATTTCAAATAAAACCAATTATTTTAATATTTATTTTATACATAGTGACTATAGTTAGTGGGTTAGAGTATAAATCAAAAAATATTTAAAAAAAATTAAATTATAAGAAATATATTGAAGTTGATAGAGTGCTATAAAAATAACTGAAAAATGATTTTGATAAAATTTGATTATATCAAGAATAAGTAAATAAAATACGTAAATTCTATTATTTAAAAAATCATTTATTTTAAAATAAAAAATATATTCAAAAATATATTTGATATATATATATATATACAAAATAATCAATATTATTAATATAAAAAGATGTGTTTGAATTATTTGTGTAGATGCATAGTTAATTTCAAACAAAACAAATAGTCTTAATGTTTTTTTATACATCATGACCATACTCAATAAGTCAAAACAGGCAATATAAATTGAAAAATATTTTTTGTAAAAAAAAAACTTAAGTTATATATAAAAACTAATAAAGTGTAATAAAAACAACTAAAAAAATTATTCGATAAAACTTGATTATATCAAGAATAAATAAATAAAACATGTGAACGAATAACAAATTGAATTGAAAAGATCAATTTTAAACAATAAAATAATATAATTCGATATATATATATATATTAGAATCTAAAAATACGATGGGGTCAAAATATATTTTGAAAACACGAGGGACCAAAAATATCTTTTAGGTAAAAAATAAAAAATAAAAGGTCAAATATATATTTTGAAAACATGAAGAGCTAGAAATATCTTTCAAAAAATAAGGGATCAAAATGAAATAGTGTGTAAACTTCAGAAACCAAGAAACCCAAAAATTTTCAGAAAATTATGAAAATACCACCTTCAAAAAATTACCAAAACTGCCACGTACTAAACAGAAAATAAATAATACTTTGTGAGTAAACCGTTCATTTGGGCCAAATTATTTAAGTTTTATTTTAATGTTTTATTTTAGAGAAAAGCTGAGTCAAATAACTTGCATTGATGTTAGAAAATGCAGAGGACATCAGGACTATATACGTCAGTACATGATACTGTTAAGTGCTATTATCAATTTTTTTAGCATGCCACGCCAAAGGAAATATACTCAGAACCTAAAACCACTCACTCCAGTTTAGAGTGCATTTCATTCAACCCCAAAGGTTCTCCCGTCAGAAATTTGGAATTTGGACTCCATGATAAAATTCTTCGCTCATACTTTTTCTTTGACGTACAATGATAGATCTACACCATAATGATATGTATAACTATTTAAGTATTCATTTATAACTTTTTTATTTATTAATTTTAATATATGTAATTTTCAATCTATCAAAACCATCACTTTTTGTAATATATACACATTATAATATGTTATTATCCTTTCACCTGTAACGTTTTCCAAACTCTCATTCAAGGAAAGGACAAAGTATTCCCAATATTCTAAAGTTGCAAAGCATAATTATATTTGGAAATTAATTTTTGGAGTTGCATCATTTTCAAGAAAATGGACACAACATTTTATACTTATAAATACTCAACAAGACTATACCTTTTTTTTTTTTCCCTAACAAATAACATTTTCCTCATTTTGTCCATTAGCATCCTCCAAGATACATTACAAAAAATGGCATTTTTGAAATTCCAATAACCCGTTACATATATGCGTGCGGCCAGTAAGCAATCCGCATTAGTTACGCAGGAAAACAACCACTAATTAAACAAGAAAAGAAACACTGAAAGACAAAATAAATCAATTGATTAAATGGACGATATGCCTAAAAGCATGATATCAATGGCAAGTAATTTGGTCAAAGCCGATATGACAAGACGACAGAATGAAGAACAAATTTAAGAGCACATAATGGTAACTTGTACATATTTGGAGACAGAGAGAACTTAAAAATGTATTCAAAACATACAAAGTCAATCGAACAAAACAACACTCTTAATTAAAGATATGAATGGAGACAATTCATAGCATTATATCAGAATGCCAGAATCCCAGAGAAAGATCTGAGAGACAGAACCAAAGTGGACGGACAAAATAACATCAGAAAAAGGTTAAATTCCACAAATTGGCATTTTTGCCTGTAATATGGGACCAGATGGGTTATCTTTTAGAATAACCGCGGAAACAGTCTCCTTCTTTCATAGTTTCATTGCCTTGTCCTACACAAACCCCGGAGGCATGGGCAAACATCTACCGTTTCAGCGAACAAGACAAGCAAACGGGTCCGCACGGTACAGCGAGGCTTTTTGTATTAATTATTTGTTTAATTATTATTTAATAATTTAATTTGAAAAAATATTGATTTCAATTACAAAAAAAAAAAAAAAAAAAAAAAAAAACTCCAAAACATATCATATTGATAAGAATAAAATAGCAAAATATTAGTCTTAAGAAAGCAAAGACATTAATACCTAATAAATCAACAAGTATGATTTTTTTGAGTTTGCATATTCGATGTTTCTTGTTACAATTCGAGTGTGATATAAAATGAATTTATTAACACATTTGATGAGAATTATTTTAATTGATGGTATGACTGAATGAATTGAGTCTTTAATTTTTTAATAGATTTAAAGATTCAACAGAAAAGTCTATATATTGTTTAAGAGAGTTTTCATAATTGAAAGTTATAAATATATGAAAAAATTGATGAAAAAAGTTGAATAACTTTTAAATTAAGGGATGCAACAAAAATAAATTAATAAAGAATCAATTACATCTATATAACATCAAGGATATGAAAAGAAACAAATAAGTTAAAGGTAATTAAACATTGTTATATAAACAATTATTTCAATTTTTTATGCAAAAAAACTTGTTTCCCTAGTGCACTTAGAGGAGAATTTTTTTTGCTCAAATGTTGATGTAGTTGATGAATACGTAATTGAATATTTAATATCATATAACATGGATGTGCTTAAAACAAAAGGCAACAACATGTAAATTATACATTAGTCTTTGCAGTTTCAAAAACTAAATAATTAATCTTTTTGTTTTTAAATTTATTTATAACTTATTTTTTTCAATTTATTTTGATTTTTAAAAAAAATAAAAATATAAAAAAATTTATGAGAAAAGAATTTATTTTTTGAAATAAAATAATATTAAATTAATCATGATCCACGTTATGAAGTGACTAATACTTAGTTTTTAAAATTAAAAGAACTAATTAATTTACTTTTACAAACTACAAGGACTAATATATAATCTACTCTATTTAATTCATTCAAAATTTTAATTTAAGGAAAAAAAAAACTCCAAAAATTTTGAAGAGTTCAAAGAAAATATTTGAATAGTAACAGAAATGTAAAAAAAAACCAAAAATCAAAAGAAAAGCATAATTTACAAGGAAAAAAAAAAAAAAAAAACAGAGAGAGACAGGGAAGAAAAGGGTGAGGCATGCCGGCCTCGCTTTGGACTTGTACTGCCAGGTCGGGGCGCACCGAGGCCAAGGGCAACAAGTTGGCGCCTTAACATAAATAAATAAAAAAAAAAACAAAATAACAAAAAGGAAGACTACACGTCGTCTATTATGGAGAACGACGCGTCCCCCGCACCTTCTTCTCCAAACTTTTCGACCGTCGAAATGTCACGTCTTGTCAGTTTTTATCCAAAAATAAAGAGTGTATTTTTGATCAATTTTTTTAATAAAAACAGCTACCAATCTTTCAAAACTCCTCCATAAGTCAATTTGCAACATCAACATTTAAACAACAAATTACCAAATCAATTTTCGTTTCTTATTTCAGATCAGAGCTGCAAGCCTGCAATCTAACTTTAACGTCTATGATAACACTTCCATACCTACAATTGACCTTGAAGGTGTAGATTTATATGATTTCTTGCGGATAAAAAAAAAAACCAGAGGCAAGGAAGGACGAAAGAGATAAGACTCCATATCGGCATATACAATAGAGAAATTGGAAGCGTCAAACCACTTTCTACCGTTATAAACTCTGATCCTAGTCTTCCAAATTACAGGTAACTTGGAGCCCGAACTCTCTCAAAGCACAAAAACTCTTTAACAATCTCAGATTGATGCAAATATTTACAACTTTACTAGTCAGAAGTCATAGACAAAAGAGCTCTGGTTGCACAGCTTCTCTCAAGTAACACTATGATAATTTACACATCAAAGAAAAGCAGGAAATACAGGGTAAGGAAAAAAGAAACTCTGGATTACAAAGCTCAACCTAACACGTAGAAACAAAGAGAGTTCACCTTTCACCATGGTTACACTGTAACCGTTTGTTCTGAAACAGTGGCCAAGCCTTGCATCAATCTAACAATTTCTGCTGTGTCATCAAGATAATATTTAGCCTTACTGGGTTTTCGACCAACTGTACAAGCAAACACTTCGGCATTCTGAGCAATTGATGGGCCAGCCATGGAGGTGGTTATTACCTCAAACATATCTTCATCAGACCTATCATCGCCAATGCACAGAACAAAATCTGGTGACATTTCATTTTCTTGCATGATGGAGAGTAGGCGTTTGGCTACAAGTCCCTTGTTGACACCCTGAAAACAGACAAGCCTGTTAGGGACCCATTTTGGAGATCCTAAAATCAAACCTCTCTCAAAGGTTGTTGAATTGTAAGTTCTTTAAATTGTGGAATGGCGTCCTCCAAGGGATTAAATTTGTCCCAAATACATGGTAAATATTTATCAGTAAGATAGCTATGAACAATCAGCAATATTAAACACCTAACTTGACTTGGTTCCAACTTTTTGGCTTTCACTATTTATATTGTAATCTGGTACTTTTCCCAGTTTCTTTCACTTCAGTTTTCTATCATCACTAAGCAAATTCTGCAAACAATAAATGGACATCTCTTCAACTAGAAAAAATAGATATTTACTTGCCTAAATATTATTCTTCCACGCCCTGAATAGCAAAAATACAACACAAAACAATCAATCTAAACTAGGCTCAAGCTGCCCAAACTCAAGGCAGAGTGAGATTTGTCCATGGGATGCTTGTTGAAAGAATTCTTTTCATATTATTGCCACCATCAGCACCATCAAAGCTTGTTAATAGGTTCAATTACAATGCAACCCGACCTCCCCAACAGAATTTCTACCAAATTTCTCTTTAGATTTAATTGAGATGATACCATATTCAAATACAAGCCCACAGGATTTAAATTCAGGGGGCAAAAGGAAACATAATACACAACATAACAAAGAGAGATATAATGCGAACCTGAGGTTTGACCTCCACTATGTTCTGCCCACTCTTGACTGTAACAGGTTCATTGGCTAGCACACTTTCAAGATGATCAAGAAGTTCCTTTGCTTGGCATGACCCAAAGTCTGGATCTGCATCCTCATAACACCACACTAGAGCAGTTTCCTTGTCCTCAATAGTAGAACCATCTGTTGTTTCAGTGTAAAGCTTCATTACAGGCTCTGCAATCTGCTTCCAAGTGGTATCTGCTACAGGGACGCATGTCTCCCACTCTGCATCTCTCGTTAGCCTGCAAACACATGATCATCTATTTCAAACTATATCACCCTAAACATAGTATTCGGAATTAGTTTAAAAAACGAACTAATTTACCTAAGAAAGTAGCCATGTTCTGCAGCTAGTCCCAGTCTCTCACACTGAGAGAACCATTCAGCAACTGTTTTGCGGCTTCGAGCACTAACAAGGAAAACCATGTTGTTCTTATCTCTACACAAGCTGTTTATAATGTCAATCGACTTCGAGGATGGGCTCTTATCTATAGAAGCCTGAGGCATTAGTGTACCATCATAATCCAGAAGAATTGCCCTAGTTGTGGTCCTCTTGTAAGCTGACACAATGCGCTCCATTGAGAGCTTCTTGAAGTTAGGATCAAGTGCCACAACTCTGAAGCTTAATCCAAATCCAATACCCCAGCATCTCCTCCTTGAATGATCGCGACATGTCCTCTCCAAATCCTGAAGGAAACTACGTGCCCAATAACCAACATCATGGGTACTGACATATCTGTAATGCTTCTCATGTCGGAGTTGTTTTTCAGGTTCCGCCATCTCCAAGGCAAAGTCCATTGCATCTGCCACTGCATCAATATTCCAAGGGTTTACACGAATTGCTCCACTCAAAGATGGGGAGCAGCCAATAAATTCAGAGATGACCAACATGCTCTTCTTCGGGGTAGAAGGTTCCTGTCCCAACAACTTATTCAATCGATCATTTCCTTGGCGACTGATTATGTACTCATAGGGTATGAGATTCATTCCATCCCGTACAGCAGTGACCAAGCAACACTCTGCAACCACATAATAGGCCACTTTCTCATAAAATTTCAATGGTGCATCGATCAAGACAATGGGGTCATATCCAGGCCTCCCAAATGTTTCATTGATCCGCTTCACAACAGCATGTGTCTCAGCTTGGACTTCTTTCACATCTTTTCCTTTACCCCTTGCAGGATTCGCTATCTGCACCAACACTATCTTCCCTTGCCACTCTGGATGCTGCACAAGTAACTGTTCCATTGCCAGTAACTTTAAACTTATACCCTTAAAAATGTCCATGTCATCCACCCCAAGCAACATTATCCTATCTTGATCACAAAACTGCTTAATGAGCTCCTTGACCTTTGCTTCAGTCTCTGGAAGGCTCAACACCGACTGAAGCTGACCCATATGTATACCAACAGGAAGAATTTTAATGCTAACAGTCCTACCACAGTACTCAATGCCTATGTACCCTCTCTTGGATTCATAGGAAAGGCCAAGCATTCTACTACAACAAGACAAGAAGTGTCTAGCATAGTCAAAAGTATGGAACCCAATTAAATCTGAATTTAACAGAGCTCGTAAAAGTTCTTCCCTAATAGGCAATGTCTTATAAATCTCCGATGAAGGGAATGGACTATGGAGGAAAAACCCAAGTTTGACCTTATTAAACCTCTTCCTCAAGAAAGTAGGTAACACCATAAGATGATAGTCATGAACCCATACGAAATCATCCTCCGGATTAATCACCTCCATAATCCTATCAGCAAATATCTTATTTACCGACACATATGCTTGCCACAAGGAACGATTAAACCTACCCCCAAGGTCCGGAGACAAGGGCAACATGTAATGAAATAAAGGCCATAATTGTTGTTTACAAAAACCATGATAATACCTGCTAAAAAGATCCGGAGGGAGAAATGTTGGCACACATTTGAAGGTCTCCAAAAGTATTTGGGAGACCTCATCTTGTTCACTAGGGTGAACTTCTTCCTTCAGACAACCAACATAAATAACCTCAATTTCATCATCCCCTAAACCATCTTTCAGCTGAAGGAGCAGTGAATTCTCATCCCAAGTGAAAATCCAAGACTTACTGCCATCAGATTTTCGCTGCGCCCTTATTGGCAGCTGATTGGCAACAATTATGATTCGATCCTTTTGCATCGAAGAGGATGATGGATCGGAGCACACGCTCTCCGATGGATCATCGTCTATGTCGGACATGATGCCCGCCACCGTCATAATCCGTGGAATTCGCCGGCTCATGCGGCCAAAAGATGGAGACTCACCAGAGGCAAGCTCCAAGAGATTAGAATATGATCTTGACACCATTTTTTTGGCTACTTCTCCTAGTTAGTTAATCTGTTTTCTTTCACTATGGCCAAGGAAAAACTCTCATTTAAGCAAAAATGTTTCCAATCCAAAGAGACCCTTTTCAAGACTCAAGCAGATAAGTTACTACTGACTTCTTAAAAACCAAGAAATTAAATACAGCAACAAATAATAAAAACTACAAATTTAGAAGACTCCCTTTTCAAGATTCACCAAATACTAAGACAATAGGTTACTGAAAAGCAAGAATGAAATAACTTATTGACTCCGAAGTAGCACTAGGGCAAGAGAGATGCAGAAACCACCAAGAGCACCACCAATTTATTGAGAGAGAGAGAGAGAGAAAGCTATGCGAAAATGAAAGGAATTTTCAGGGAAGAAAAAAGAGAACAAATTTAAGCAAGTTTCTCGGCGGCCCAGATAAAAAGAAAGAGAGAGGGAGAGAAATAGGAAGAAACAAAAGAATGGAATAGATTCAAGATTATGGATGGAGCTAAAGAAAATATACTGCTGCAACAACCAGATATTATCCCACTACAGATTGTTACAACACTTTTTTTTTTTTTTTTCACTTGCCCAACTATTTGAAATTTTGAACATGCACTACCCAAAAAGATATGAAAACAATCAAGAATAGTCCAACAAAATTACCAGCTTCTTTAAAATGAAAATTTTCTTTCAAAACGTCCACAGAGAAAAAAAAAAAAAAAAAAAGAAATAGACAATAACTCGGGCTTATTTTTTGGAGAGGGCCAAAATAATTGTTTTTTTTTTTAACTACCTTTTTGAAGAGCTCTCTCTCTCTCGATCTCTCTCAGTAATCCTTACCCCCTTATAAACACCATCTGAGAGAGAGAACAAAATGCCGTCAGTTAGATTAACAATATAAAATCCCAACTTGCTTTCATATTTGAGTTTGCTGTATGATTTCATCCCTATAGTTTAATAAAACTATAAATTCATCCACATGAGTGGTCATTGGTTCTTGGGGTGAGATATCATGGATAAATTGGTAAGTAGATTTAATCTAATACATCATCTATAATTTAAGCCAATGAATACATCATTAGGTCCACACAATTGTATTTTATTTATGTATCTTGTATTTACTAATATAATATGTAAATAATATCAAGTTTATTAATAATTTCTCGAGATTAAAGTTCAAATTTAATCATCAAATTATATACAACTCTTTCTTCTCTATTCTCACGAGCTATTATTTAATTTATAAGTTTTGTTTCAACTAATAACTTTATCGAGTTGGATATATATATACTTAAGATTTATATCATATCCAATAAATATGAAAATTCAAGTTTTTTATCATAAAAAAGCATTAAAATTATAGTTTTATAAACCATACATTTAATCTTTATATTTTCAATTGGCTTATAATTTAGAATATTTGTTACTTTCTTTTTTTTAAATTATTTTATGTATTATTTTTTGAAAAATAGAATTAAAAAAAAAACAGAGAGAGAAGTATGTAAGATGAGAAATTTGACCAAAAAAAGGCATTTATAGAAAAATGATTTGACAAAAATAAGGAGGTGTTTTTGAACTAATTTTATACTACCTGAACTAACGATTAGTTTTAATAAACTACAGGGACCAAGTCATGATTAACTCCTTATATTTTAATGGGCCAACAATACTAATCATTCTTTTTTTAATATATATATATATATATATATATATATATCAGGATACGTGTGGGAAGTGAGAAGCAATAACAGTCGCTAGATGGGTACAAAGAAATGTTAATCCAACGGTATATAGCGAAGTAAAATGTCCACTAGATAAACAGTAGAAAGAGTCTCTCTGGTCGTTTGGTTCTTATCCGTTTGTCCTTAGGTGAGTCCGCCACAAGGCGTTGGGGGATGGAATCTGGGACCCACCCACAGAAGAAAGAAGTGTTTTATTGGTGTTTATTATTATTATTGTTATTTAGTATCATCTGAGATGAAAATTAGCTGTCTTGGTGGTGAGTACCACGTGGCCTATGGATACTTGCTTTTGCAGGTCTTTTATAGGCTGTCTGTCAAATTATCCAAACTCCATTGACAGGAGGCGTCGAGATCCGTGTCTCGGTCTTGACCGATTTATCGGATGTTTCCCGACATGAGTTAGAAAAACAATGATCTGGTGTTCTTTTTAAGGTATACGACAGTGAAGTTCGTAGCTGTTTGGATTCCAAGTGTTGTTTTGTTATGAGAATATATCGGTTTAGATTTTTATCAATGGAGGAATTAATAAATCTTGATTACAGCTTGGAGCTTGCTCATTTTTCTCCTTTTTTTTTTTTGGGGGGGGGGGGGGCGGGGACTTGCATTTTTCTATAAATTGACGTATTTTGGACTTTACAATTTATGCCTCCTTAAGGAATTGTTTGTAATATGATTTTGCTACTAAGAGTTCATCTTACATAGCTATAGGAGTTCAATAAAATATTTTTCTTTTATTTTAACATAGACAGTATACTGGATCTAGTTTCAGGTACCAAAATGAGGGATTTTTATAAATAATTTAATAATATATATATAGCAATTAAAACATTGATTGTTAATTAAAAGTATTTCATTGTTTATTAATATGGTTTTTGTTGTTGGATAATTAATGATTTATAATTGATACATTTAATAAAAAAATGAGTTATTAAATATTTTTTCAAAATTGATTTTAATTTTCAAAAAAAAAACTAAATTACTTAAATTTGTTATAAAAGAAATAAAAATAATTGGAGAATTAAATGGAAGGATGACAATAAAATGAATTCACCGTAAAATGAATACAAATGATAAGAATTTCAAATTATTCTCTTAATCTCTCTAAAAATTTGTACATCAACTAATGAACAATCAAACCTATTTATAGGCTTCAAAATTGAGAAGAGAATTGAAAGAAACTATGAATAATTAAAAGTACATAAACTGTTGAATCAATTACATCACCCTTTCAATTTCTCATATTGAATGATGAATTGAATCACATTAAGAATCATGAGTAGTGAGATATGAAAAGCGAGATGAACATTCATATGAACATTCATTGTTTCATAATACTCCCCTTTGAAGAATGTCTATTGTACAAGTACCATGCCTCATTAAAACCCTATTAGGAAAAACCCAATAGGAAAAAAATCCTAACGAAGAAAAAAATATATAGCATTTATTGTACACATTAATCCATATTTTGGTCTCTCCTCGTTGAAAACATTATTTAATATCTCTAAGATGATGCATTCCGATCTTGTGACTCATATTCTCAAAAGTTATGATAGGTAATGCCTTAGTGAACAAATCTATTGGATTGTCACTTGATCAAATTTGTTGAATATTAATATCACCATTTTGTTGAAGATCATGTGTGAAAAATAATTTTAGTGATATCTCGCTTCGTTCGTCACTTTTGATGTATCCTTCCTTAAATTGAGCTATGTAATTAGTATTATCTTCATACAAGATTGTTTAAACTTCCTTGCTAGTGGATAAACCGCGTGTCTCTCGAATATAATGGGTCATTGATCTTAACCAAATACATTCTCGACTTGTCTCATGAATTGTTAGTGTTTCTACATGGTTTGAAGACGTGGCAGCTATAATTTGCTTCATAAAACGTCATGATATAGTTGTATCTCCATATGTAAATACATAACTAGTTTGAGATCGAGCTTTGTGTGGATCAGATAAATAACATGTATCCGTATAACCAATTAATCTTGTTTTTGATTTATTGGAGTGATATAAACCCATATCAATTGTTCCTTGGAGATAACGTAGAATATATTTAATTCCATTCAAATGTCTTCGTGTTGGAACACAACTATATCTTACTAATAAATTTATAGAAAATACTATATCGGATCGAATATTATTAGCAAGATACATTAATACACCAATTGCACTAAGGTATAGTACTTCGGGATCAGAAGTTCTTCGTTATCTTCTCGAGGTTAAAAAGGGTCCTTTTGGACGTCAATTGAATGAACTACCATTTGACTAGTCAATGGATAAGCTTTAGCCATATAGAATCATTGTAGTATTTTTTTCTATATATGTTAACCGATGAATAAAAATTTCATCTTCTAAGTGTTCAAACTACATGCGAGATAAAAAAATTTTTCCAAGATCTTTTATATCAAATTCTCGATTTAAATAATTTATAGCACTTAAAATCTCTTCGAAGTTTCAATTATATTGTAATCATCAACATATACAGCAATTATCACAAATCCCTTTTTGAATTTCTTTATAAACACATATGGACAAATTAGGTTATTTTTATAACCTTCTTTTAATAAATAATCACTAAGACGATTATACCATATATGTCCAGATTGTTTTAATCCATGTAGAGATCTTTATAATTTAATTGAATACTTCTCTCGAGAATGTATTTTACATGTTTCGGACATTTTAAGTCCTTGTGGAACTTTCATATACATATCATTATCAAGTGAACCATATAAATAGGTCGTGATCACATTCATTGAATGCATATAAAGTTTTTCATGTGCTCGTTAAGCTAATAAGATAACGGAATATAATTACATCTATTATAGGAGAATATGTCTCCCGATAGTCAATGCCAAGTCTTTATGAAAATCCTTTGTGCTACAAGTCTTGCTTTGTATATCATAATTTTATCTTTTTCATTTTGTTTTTATACAAATACCCATTTGCATCATCTTGGCTTAACATCTTTAGTTGTTTTAACTATGGGTCAAAAAATTACGCATTTCGTGAGAGACATTAATTCTTCTTAGATTGCATCTTTCCACTTAGGTCAATCATCTCTATGTTGACATTCTTAATATATTCAGAGCTCGAAACCTTATTCAAAATATAAATTGTAATATTATATTATCAATGAATGTTTTTTTCGATCATATTTTCTCCCTGTATTAACATAATTTATAAAAAAATTTAGATTTTACTCAAACATTTAGACTTCTTCCGGAAGTTTGTTATCAAAAGCATCTTGGACTATTTTATCCG